CCTGCGGGCGGCGGCCTGGGCCCTGAGGAGAGCCAGCGGACCGTGGACCCCGCGCCTGGGACCGCGCCTCCTCTGGTAATGACAGCGCACTTGTCCGTGACCGGGGTGGGTAGCACGCTGGCCCGCCCTGAGCCTGACTGCATGCCGGCGCAGCGCCAAGCCCTGATCGCGTGAAGTGCTGTCATTGCCCCCTTTCCCGGCCAGTGAAACCGAGGCCCACGTTGGTGGTTGGCCGAGGTCTCCAGTTAGCGCCCAGCCGCGGTTTGAACAGCTCGTGGTCAGTCCGGGTGTCTCCCGGACCACGCTGCCACCATGGCCCCTTCCCGGACTCTGCTGTGTTGCTCACGCCTGCCGTGTCTCTCCAGTTTGCCCCCCATGGCAGGGAACGGGGAGGCGCTGGCACCGGCGGGGGCCAGGCAGGAGCAGGGCACAAAGGCCTGCAGCGGCTGGCGGGGCGCGGCCAGGACCTGGGAGGAAACGGCGCAGCAGGCCAAGAAGCTAAAGAGCAGCGAGGACGGGGAGCCGCCCCGCAAGCTGCCCAAGAGGAAGATTGTGCTGCTCGTGGCCTATTCCGGGAAGGGCTACCACGGCATGCAGGTGAGGGCGCCCGCGGCCGGGCAGGCCGGCTTCTCTCCCGGCCGCCGCCTGCTTTGCGTAGGGGCCTCAGAGGGACAGTCAGGCTTCCAGGGAGGCCGTGTCAGGAAACGGCAGAAGGCGGGGTCTTCGCCTGTCCACCGGTTCCTGTGGCTCCCATCGAGCCAGATCTACATTCGAATCCAAGCAGCTTTGAGCCCTGCTTCGTCCCTGCGAGATGTGTGCCCTGGTGTTCCCGAGTCTCCCAGGGTGGTTAAGGGCCCTGCCCCGCTGTTGACCGGCGACGTGGCCTTGGGTACGTGACTGAAGCTCTCGGTGCCTCATTTTTAAGCGCTGATTTTATGAGGCATGACGGTTCACGAGGCTGACCCACGCTGTGCTGCTGCGCCCCAGGACCCAGGACAGTGCCCGGGAAGTTCAGGAGAGACCCTGTTACTGTCTGTCTGTGGGTTTGCAGCACTTGAGAATCCCTCCCTAGCCCGGCAACGTGACCCTTTCCTGAAAGGCAGAGGGTCCAGGTGCCCTGACAGATGGACCGACTTGCTTCTTGTTCCTTGTGGTCCACTCTGTGGCTCTTAAACTTGGGTTCCTTGTTCTTTAAATTTCTTTAAGCTTGACTCACAGGAAGGAATTCACTGCTGCGCAGAGTATCTGATACCCAAGTTTCCGAAAACAGTGCCCAGTCTCACCAGGTGCTATGATAACCTTTACTATGAATAACGATAGTAGTAAGATACTTGGTATCCTGTTTTTTTTTTTTAACTTTTCGGTTGCACCCATGAAACTAATTTGATGACCACTGGTGGATTGTGGCGGAGGGCAGAAACGCTGCTCCAGTCTAACTTAGCGGAACAGACAACCCACCTCTGCTGCTCTTTGTGGATGTTTACATGTTTCTGAGCATGATTTTGGTTCCTGTGTTTTTGCCTTATGCGCCGTCTGGAGAATGTTGCCAGTGTCTCATCAACTGTTTGCCTCAGTTTCTCCGTGAGGAAAATGGGGGTAGAGCGTGGCCATAGCTCCCAGGGCGGACGGAAGGACAAATACGTGGAGGGGTTGTCATCCGTGTTTCTTAACGTCCATTCCAAGCCTTTGAGACGCATTTGTAACATTTGAGTGAAGGGATTGGACTTAAGTTGCAGTGGGAACCGCGAGGTAGAGTTTGGGAAGAACCTCCCCACCCTGGTGAGTCTTGGCAAAGTGCTTGTTGGCCTGTGTCCCTTGCGCTACAGAGGTTTTCTTTGAGAAGGTCAGGGTGGTGATCCTGCCCATGTCATCGGGTCCTGTGGGCCCTGGACTATGACTGTGCTGCATCTCGCACTCAGCCATCCCCACCACCTGGGTGCTGGCAGCGTCCTGGGGTGAGGTCCTGCTTTAGCAGAGGGGCTTGTGCCCTGTGGTGGAAGGGGGGGCTCTCCTGGAGTGATGAGGGAGGGGGTCCCTGGGGTGATGAGGGTAGGGGCTCTCCTGGAGTGATGAGGGTAGGGGTTCCCTGGGGTGATGAGGGAGGGGGTCCCTGGGGTGATGAGGGTAGGTGATGAGGGAGGGGTTCCCTGGGGTGATGAGGGTAGGGGGTCCCTGGGGTGATGAGGGAGGGGGTCCCTGGGGTGATGAGGGAGGGGGTCCCTGGGGTGATGAGGGTAGGGTTTCCCTGGGGTGATGAAGGAGGGGATTCCCTAGGACGATGAGGGTGGAAGTCCCTGAGGTGATGACGGAGGGGGTCCCTGGAGTGATGCAGGCGGGGGTCCTTGCAGACAAATGGGTCTCCGGCAGGAGGGATGCTGGTTTCACATCGAAACAGGTTGGGGAAATGACGTCTCAGGTGATGCCCACTGTTGGCTGTCCAGGTTGGGAGTTTCTAGGACTGGGCGCCCTCAGGTGGCTTTCCTACTCCCGTGGGAAGGGAACATGCTACAGGGTCTCTCTGTGGCCACAGGTGTGGCCCCCCAGGCTGCCGGGTGCCAGCACACCACACATGCCCCTACCTGGACCAGCTCCGCCCAGGGCCCCTTGTGGGTAGCGACTGAGTGAAAAACACTTTGTCTTCTCCTCAGAGGAATGCTGGGTCCTCGCAATTCAAGACCATTGAAGATGACCTGGTGTCTGCCCTGGTCCGGTCGGGCTGTATTCCTGAGAATCATGGGGAAGACATGAGGAAGATGTCCTTCCAGCGCTGTGCTCGGACAGACAAGGTAGGTGGCCGTCCCTGCCCCACCCCCGCAGGTGGGAGCAGCACCGAGACCGCCGGTCTGTCTTGGGGTTTGTCTTTACCCCACTTCTATCTTAGCATCTTTCTCCATCAAGATTCTTTTGGTTACGAATGAGACGTACAAATCAAACTAGTCTGAGTGGAAAGAAAGTTGTTGCCACGTGTAACTAAGCTCCTCGGGCATTTCCGGTTCAGGTGTGGCTGGATCTAGGTGCTCGCTGCCCCCGGAGCCTGCGTCCTGTCAGCCTCTGCCTTCTCTGTCGCTCCTGCAGGTGGCACGGTGGCCACAACACCTGCCTTAGATCCACTTTCTCAGGCTTGCGACACAAGGAGGGCCGCGTGGCCACAGAAGCACAGCATGCTTGTAATGTTAAATTTCCCAGTAGCCACAGTCCAGAAGGAAAAGGAAACAGATGAAGTTGGTTTCCATAATCAATTTCATTTAACTGAGTATATCCAAGGTAGTCTCCTGTCAGTGCGCAATCCACATAAAGAATGACGCACGGGAAATATTTTCCATTCCGGGAGTGTGAGTTCCAAGTCTGTGAAACCCAGTGCCTGTGGTACGCTCACAGCATCCCCACCACACAGGCCGCCCTCTCCCGGGTTCAGGAGTCACGGGTGGCTGTGGCCCAGCGCTGCCCATGCAGAGTCACAAGGTCAAGTCCTGCTGTCTGATTGGCTCTCGCATCCGTCCTGGGCTCAGCCACTGACTGATCCTGCCCTGTTGTGTTCCCAGGCATGGGGCTGGCGTGGGCAGGGGCCCCCACAGGAGAACGGAGGGGTGACGCTGAGACGGGGCCCAGTGCCAGGCGGGTAGGACAACAGGAAGTTCTTCTCTAGTAGACAAAAAAAATTGACACGCTCTCTGTGCCTCTCACCCTGCTCTCTGAGACCCTGGCCCTCAAAGCACCTCTCCTGCCACCTGAGGTCAGTGGGAGCCGATGTGCGCGTAGCTCTTTGTGGGCCAGGGTCCCGGGAATCTGAATGACATCTAGTTTCAAAGGGACACGGATTCCCTGGGATCCGCAGACCCAGGCCAGAACCCCAGAGCTGGAGCCGCTCTCCTTGTTTTTAATTCTTCCACTTACAGCTCTCTGGTTATTTTCAAGGCAGAAGGAAAAAAAAGTCTACCTGCGCTAAGGAAGGGAGCATCTCAAGATACAGTGCTAGCATTTGTTTTAATTTCCACTGTTATTAGAGAGACTTTCATTCTAATGTTTTCCTTCTTACAAATGGAGAAACCAAAAGAATCAGAAAACCTCCAATCCTGACATCCCATGCATCCAGCCCGCTGCGAGAACAAACCAAAATGGTCATCTTGGGTTAGTTTTTGTTTCAGATTTTTTTTAAAAAGCTTTCTTGAGCTTTAACTCCCTCCCATACGGTCCGCTCGTTTAAAGAGTACAGTTCAGCGGATCTCGTCTTTTCTCGGAGTTGCGTAGCCATCACCGCGGTCAACCTTAGAACGTTTTCATTGTCCCTAAAAGGCCCCTGAAACTATCCTCCCCACCCCACTGAAATCTCCGGAGTATTCTCGTTTCAACACGTAACCAACATAAGAAGGTTGGGAGTGAGAGGGGTGAGAAGTATTTCCGTTCCGTTTTGTTCTTCCTGCCAAGTGTTTGAGACCTGCCGTGTGCTTCCCGTCCACAGCGCCGCACTTCAGGACAGCCGTTCCCTGCCCTCAGGCCGCACACGCGGCCGGGTGCCTTGGTGTTGGAGGGTGCAGGTCTGGGAAACGGTGCACTTGGCCGCGTGGCATCTCACCAGTTTATTTTTTGCTCGCCTGTCTCTTTTTTTTTTTTAATCTCTGCAACTTTTTATTTGGAAAACCTTCAGCCTTTAGAAGTCTCAGGAGCCACGTGTGAATACCCAATAATCTCTCCTTAGATTCCGCAGTGTGAAATTTTTTTGGCCAAATTTGATTTCTATCTGACTCCTTTTTTGCCTCCGAAGGGAACCATTTGAGAGTAAGTTGCACCATCCTCCCCCTTCACCCCGAAATACGTCAGCTGAGTCTCCTATGAGCAGCGGTGTCCCCGGGCAACACCTGCACGTAACTGTCACCCGTGGGAAATTTAACCTCGACATGTTACTGCTTCTAACATGCTTTGGGTTTGGGCGTGATCCAGCCTCTAACCCAGGGTCCAGGGCTGCTTTCAGCCATCCTCTCTTTTGAGTTTCCTTTAACTGAAAACGGTCTCCTTGTCTCCGTTCTGCCCTTCCTGACGTGGTGTCTTTGGCGAGTTCGGGCCGGTTATTTTGAAGCAGGTCCTCCGGCTGCATTTATCTGACTGTTCTCATGACTAGGTCCAGACTCAAAACGTTTTTGTGGGCAGGGGCAGTACACGGGTTCCACGATATTCTATTTTCTTTGCATAGATCTTAAAACCTTTCTTAGAAAATGGGATTGCAGTAAGCAGAAAGGTGCATCCAGTGTGAGTGCAAAGTAAAACAGTTGACTCTCCGAGGACACCTGGGCGGTCTCCACCTAGGTCAGCATGCGGGACTCTGTCCACGTCCCAGGAGCCCTCCTCGGCCACCTTGCGAATAGCCCCTCCCCTCCTGCTAGGCCTCACCCCCACGCTGATTTGATGGAAACTTCCTTTAGAAAAAAGGCTCAATACACAGATGTTAATGTGCACTCCTCCCCAGCACAGAGACTGATCGGTTTGCCTGCGTAACCCGCACCTGTCCCCACAGAATGACTGCTGTTGTGATGTAGGTGGCCATCTCTTCCTTGCTTTGCCCCAGAGTTCTGTCGATTCCGTTGCATTTTCTTCTCCCCTGAGTCCTTGAGAGTCACACCCAAGGTGGGACTTTATTTCCTATCTGCATGGTGTCGTACGTCCCCTAGTTCCTGTCTTGTTGGGTTTGAGGGTCACTTACGATATCTTGTGAGCTCTGCTGCCCACCCTGGGCGTGCAGAGCGCCCTTCTCATATCTGATCAGTCCCTTCAGGTGCGCTTCTGAAACCAGGAGTCCCGTGAAGGATGTCATGTTTGCACGGTCCTTCTGCCAAAGAGGCCGACCTGCCGAGGGTCATGCCAGAAGAGCGGGCCCCACTGACCCTGCCTTCTGCTTCCTTCGCAGGGGGTGTCTGCGGCCGGCCAGGTCGTGTCCCTCAAGGTGTGGCTGGTCGACGACATTTTAGACAAGATCAACAGCCACCTCCCATCTCAGATCCGGATACTGGGTAAGCGCCGCCACCCAGGGCTGCGCGGCAGGTGGTGGCCAGTCTGGTGGTGGCCGGTCTGGCAGAGACACACAGCTTCTTCTTTCCCTTAATGCCCCTGGTGTCTGTAGATAAGAGTGGTTGTAAGTCACCTTGGAAAAAAGTCCAGCGTCCCCGCCTCCTCCAGGAAGGGACACGTGGGATAGACAGACATGGAAGGTCCACCCCTGCTCCTTCTCCGTGCCACACATGCCTGTAGTAACTGGATGCTTGCATGTGAAAGTCTGGATTTGTTTTTCGGGGGGTTTTTGTTTTGGAGGGGGAGGTAATTTGGTTTGTTTGTTTGATGGAAGTGCCGGGAATTGAACCCAGGACCTCTTGCACACTAAGTATGCGCTCCACCACTGAGCTATCCCCTCCTGCCTCGTGCAAGTCCAGATTTGATGAAGTTGAAATGGGTGCAGTCATTCGCTTTCATAGCAAGGCCCGATACAAGATATTTAGGTCTTGTTCGTTTAAAAAAATCCAGTCTGACTCCCTCTGCCGTCTAAGTGGCGTGTCTGTGCCGTCCATGGTTGGTGCGGCGGTGGGGTCCGGTTGCGGAGCTTCCTCCCGTTTCTCTGTGTCCCGTCTATTACTTGTTCCCCTTTCCTCTCCCCACTCCTTTTGGATTCAGCGATGTTTTCCATAGTTCCGTTTAGTTACCACCTGGGCTAGCTTACTAGCTATGACTGGCTCTGGGTTTTTCAGTGACTATTTTGGGGTTTAAAGCAAGGGTTGGCTGCTTTTTTCTGTAGAGGGCCAGGTGGTAAGATGTTTTAGGCTTTGTGGCCCACAGATTACTTTCTGTGTTGCATCTTCTTCCTTTTTTTTAACCACTCTTTCAGGCTTAGCTCAGAGGCTGTACAAAAGTGGCCCTGGTTTTGGTCCCCGCTTGCCAGTTCCCGGGTTAAAGCATCAGTCGCTCACACAGCCTCCACCAGGTGCAGTCATGCCACCTCGTGCGTAGTCCAAAACCTGCGACCCAGGCCTGCATCTCTGCCCCCTTGGCCTGGGGGCTCTGCAGATGTGTCTGTCAGGTCTACGAACAGGACAGCCCCCACACTACATGGTGGTTGTTTTTCCTTTAAGCAGCCAAGTGAAAAAACATTTCACTGTTTTTAAAATGGGAGTATAGCCACATATTTAACTGTACAACTACAAAGCTTTGATAAATGTGTATACTTGTAAAATTATCCCGAGACAATGAGCCTGTCCCTCAGCCCCTGAAGACGGTAGCCCTCCCCCCCGCCCCCATTCCTCACCAGGCAGCCACTCCTCTGCCTTCTGTCACTGACATTACGCTGTGTTTTTTGACGATTATAGAAATGGGAACACAGAGAACATATTCCTTTTTGTCTGGCGTCTTTCATAGAGCCACACGTTGCATGTGTCTTCCGTTTGCTCCATTTCACTGCTGTGAGGCTGGGTTTATGTCGTTTATCCGCTTACCTTCTGGGGAGCGTTAGGGGTGGTTCCAGTGTTGGGGTGTTACTTAGAATGATGATCTCTAGCTCCATCCATGTTGCTGCAAATGACATTATTTCATTCTTTTTTATGGCTGAGTAGTATTCCATTGTATAGATTTACCACAATTTCTTTATCCAGTCATCTGTCAATGGACATTTAGCCAAAATTGCGTTCTTAATGCTGGACAAAAAACAAAAATAAGACCATCCCAGATCAAACATGACAGCAGAGACAGAAGATGGGGTGCAGTGCAGATGCAGCCGTGAACCAGCAGCCCCAGGGCTGGGTCATCCTGCCCGGAGAAGGGAGTGGGTCCACATCGACCCTCGTAAATGGAGCCGGAGTTGGCCTTGAAGTCGAACGCCTTGTGAGGTTGAATCCTCGTAACCTGGTGGCCCTGCAGTCTCAGGTCACGACCTCAGTGTTAGGCCAGCCAGGCAATGCAGTGTGCGCAGGACAAGGAGGGCACTTCTTGGTCCCTGGCTCCTGGACACCATCCCTGCTGACCTGCTATTCTTCCAGAAGTTTTCTGTACAGAGACAGACAGCATCCATATGTTTGCATTCTTCTCACAGCTGGAATCCCCCTGCATATAGGCCTTCATTTGGTCTTTCTTGTTTCAGATACTGGTCACAGATCTTTGCCTGGCACCTGCCAGGTCAAGTGGCGCCCAGAAGCGGGGGCGTCGGCTCCTGCAGCTCGCTGCCTGGACATCGGGACTGCACGTGTCCAGAGCACATCATCTTCCTGTCACTGGACTTTTCTGATTGTCTTTTGCTGTTGAATGTGCTGTGGCCTCTGCAGGGCGGCTCCGGGTCAGAGGCCCGCGGCTGGTGCTTCTGTCTGTGGGCCAGCGGCGCCAGGTTGCACCGCCCTTTGCTGACCCTGGGTTTTAACAAACACTTACGTTTTCCTTGTGCTGCTCTGTTCAGCTCTGAGACTGAGCATCCTGCAGGCGAAGAGCTGAGTGCACAAAAGCCAGGTCTCTCCTGGGCCCGCCCGGGCTCGGGAGGTGAGTGGCCGGTGCCTCGCCCTGGTCAGGGTGGTGTTTCTCATGGCCTCCTCTCCCCCCAGGGCTGAAGAGGGTCACGGGCGGCTTCAACTCCAAGAACAAGTGCGACGCCAGGACCTACTTCTACATGCTGCCCACATTTGCCTTCGCGCACAAGGACCACGACGTGCAGGATGAGACCTACCGGCTGAGCGCGGACACCCTGCGGCACGTGAACCGGCTCCTCGCCTGCTACAAGGGCACCCACAACTTCCACAACTTCACCTCGCAGAAGGGGCCCCGGGAGCCCAGCGCCCGGCGCTACATCCTGGACATGTTCTGCGAGGAGCCCTTCGTGCGGGAGGGCATGGAGTTCGCGGTGATCAAGGTCAAGGGCCAGAGCTTCATGACGCACCAGATCCGGAAGATGGTGGGCCTGGTGGTGGCCATCGTCAAGGGCTACGCGCCCGAGAGTGAGCTGGAGCGCAGCTGGGGGGAGGCCAAGGTAGACGTGCCCAAGGCGCCCGGGCTCGGCCTGGTGCTGGAGCGTGTGCACTTTGAGAAGTACAACCAGCGCTTCGGCCGCGATGGGCTGCACGAGCCGCTGGACTGGGCGCGGGAGGAGGCGGAGGCCGCGGCCTTCAAGGAGCAGCACATCTACCCCACCATCATCAGCACCGAGCGCCACGAGAGGTCCATGGCCCAATGGCTGAGCACCCTGCCCGTGCACAACTTCAGCGCCACCACCCTCGCGGCGGCTGGCCCAGACACCAAGGTGGGGCTGGGGGCTGGCGCTGTGGGGAAGCTGAGGGCTGTGGGAGACTGGGGGCTGGGGTCGGGGAGGCCAGGGGGACAGCCATGCGGCTGGGGGTGGAGGTGGTGGGGTCTGGCTCCCCAGGAGCTCAGCCAGGCGCTTGTCCACATCTGTCATTGTCCATGGCTAAGCTTCTGACTGACTCTGCCCCCATGTCACTGTGCCCATTGTGCAGATGAGTAAGCTCTCCCAGAGTCCCACTGATCGGGGCTCTGCCCCGTGAGCGCAGGGGCCGGGCCTGTTGTCTGAAACCTGCTAGGGGCCGGCTGGAAGGGTGGCTCACCCGTTAGCTAACTGGCAGCCTTACTCTAGAAAGAGGACATCCAGGATTCAGGGCACTGGAGCTCAGAGCAGGGGGAGTTAATATTTCACTTTAGTTCTCCATTCTTTACCCTGGGGTGAGAGGTGGCCCCAAAGCCCACGTCCTCTCACGGTGGCCCAGCAGGCTGTGAAAGGGTGAGAGTCCCACCTGAGTTTCTGGGAGAGCCCTTCCCACTGTCTAGGTGTCCAGGAAGCCAGTGTCCTCCCTCTGCACCTGTACTTGTCAGCTCAGGGGCACACAGGTGAGCAAGCAGGCCGGGGGGCCAGGTGTAAGAGCAGCAGGAGTGCAGGTCGGATGATGGTTGGTGGCCCGCGTCCGGGAGGCGATAGGGATCAGTGGAGACTACGACAAATAGGAGAGCCTTTGTTCCATCTGAAGGGGGCTGCTGCGGCTTGGCCCCAGCCAGCAGGAGGTGGGCCCAAGTGTTGTCAGAGTGGCTGCTTTTCCAAGAGAATCTGGCATTCCAGAGTTTATGCAAAATAGTCCACTCTAAGTGTTGACAGTTATTAATTTTCTTAAGCACTGTGAGGTCAAATCGAGCATGTGTACAGATCTGACCTGGGGCCAGACTGTGCCTCCTGCTCAATCCCACTAAGAGAGGCTTCTGACTGTTTGCCATCTGTACACAATGCTGGGGGGCCTGTCATTCTCCAGCTTTGCAGTAGCCCAAGTGTATGTTCCTAAGGTCATTGCAGCCTCTGGGGATTTGAAGGAGCCCAGTGAAGACCCTCCTCTCGCCCCCAGCTCCTGGCTTTCCCGGTTGAAGACAGGTTCTCTGACCAGTCAAGAGGAAGACAAGGAATCAGGCTGAGCCCGCCTTGGGCAGCTCTGGGGGCAGCCCTCCTTCCAGGGAGAAGTACCCAGACCCAGGCGGCGTGCTCCCCCACAGTCACATTCCTGTCTGCTCTTGCTCTGCAGGTCCCCAGCCCCCTGGAAGGCAGTGAAGGGGACGGAGACAGTGACTGAGGCACGGCCACCCCCCGGAGTGTCTTGGAGTTGGCCCACAACTCCTGCACCAGGACCCACCAGCCTGCTGTTGGCTGTTTGCCTCGGCCAGACAGGAGAGCCTGCTGGTGGCCTCCCAACCTCAGGATCTTGAGACCTGCGTCATTTTGTTTTCGTCAGGGGGAAAACCTGCTGCGAATCTATTTTCAGCCCATGCGGATCTGTATACACCTCGGCGTGTAAAAACACTATTTTTTTAAAGAAGCGATTTTCTTATTAAAGAAGCACAAACTTTGCTTAGTCACTTCTTTTATCTTTTTCTCGGTCTTTTCCACGGGCCTTTGATCGAGAGGGATGAAAGGAGCACTGTGCGCTGTGTTAGCAACAGACCTGGCCCCGCCTGGGCTGGGAACCGGGGAACCTGGCAAGGGCGTGTGCGGGCGCGGGCAGGCCAAGCAGGTGGGAGGGCGCCTGCGTGCGGGCAGGTGGGCGGAGGCTCGAGCCCAGTGGGAGGCTCTGCTCAGGACTCAGCTGTCAAGCTGTCAGGATGGGGCTGGCTGCAAGCAGCAGGAGCCAGGCAGGCGGCACAGGCACACACAGAACAGTGCCGCAGTCGGGACAGGTGCAGCAGTCCCCAGTGCAGGAGGCCACAGGCTCCCTCGGTGTCCACCTGGCCCTCTTCAGCAGGCAGCTTTCATCCCGGTCCGTCCATCCCTGGCACTGTCCGTGTTCCAGGCGGGAGGAGTGAGGGCGGAAGGAAGGGGCACGTCGTTCAACACGTCCCTTAGCGAGCTCTCCCAGAAGACCTGCCAGCAGCTTCTTTCCCTCATTGGCCGGAAGTGTGTCCCGTAGCTGTAAGGGAGGCTGGGAAATGCTTTTTATTAAGTGGTGATTTTCTGTCGGCAAGTAAAAGGGGATCACATAGTGGGCTGGCAGTTGGCAAGTCTGCTGCAGAGGCACGGAGGATTTCATGTGGGGAAGTGGTGCGTGTGTGTTCTGCATGCGTGGACACACGTGTGCAGGTGTGACGGGCACATGCATATGCTCTGTGGTGTGTGTGGCCATGTGTATGCACACGTGGTATGCGAGTGACTTATACGTGTGCATTTGTGTGATGTGTGTGTGATTGTAGGTGATGTGTGTCTGGGCATGTGTGCCGGTGTCGTGTACGTGCACATGCTGTGTGTGCTGCGCACACATGTGCACGGGGGGCCTGGGCAGATCTCTTGCAGGGCCCGTTCCCTTTCAGAGGGCGGATGGGGGTGGTGGTGGCTGGAATCAGGAAGACCGTTCAGGAGACCGGCAGTGACGTGCAGGAGGCCGAGCCAGATGTGCCTCTGGGTCAGATAGATGGCAGTGCTTGCTGCTGCCGGGTGGCCTGGAGCTGGGACGGGAGGGTTTAAGGCTCACCTGGGCTTCGGGTTGGATGAACTGATGAGAACAGGATGGGGTGATTGGGAACAGGATGACCTTGAAGTGTTGGGAGTTGGCTTCAGACATGTTAATTTTACCTGTGATAGGACTTTTAAAGTCCCTTTCCAGAGCATAAAGTAACCTAAAAACTGCTGGGACCGTGGGGTTCTCCCCATGGAAGTCTACATGGTCTTGGTTTGAGGGTGAAATCAAGCCACTGTGCTAGACAATTCCCAGTTGTGCCTCCAGGTAATGAGTGAGTGACTCATTTAAATCACCTTGGAGGGTCCATGGGTATAAGATATTGTAAATAATACATGTATGTGGAAAAACCAGAGTACAAAAAAAGAGAAGTTGCCGTCCATCCCTAATTCTCAGTTATCTCTCCATAGGCCCCTACTCTTTTTTTTTTTAATTGAAGCACAGTTAGTTACAATGTGTCAGTTTCTGGTGTTCAGCACAATGTCCCAGTCATGTGTACACATACATATATTCGTTTTCATACTCTTTTTCATTAAAGGTTCTCACAAGACATTGAATATAGTTTCCTGTGCTATACAGAAGAAATTTTTTTAAATCTATTTTTATATATAGTGGCTAACATTTGCAAATCTCAAACTCTCAAATTTATCCCTTCCCACCCCCTTTCCCCCGGTTACTATACGATTGTTTACTATGTCTGAGAGTCTGTTTCTGTTCATTAGTGTATTCTTTTTTACTTTTTGTTTTAGAGTCCACATATGAATGATATCATATGGTATTTTTCTTTCTCTTTCTGGGTTACTTCACTTAGAATGATGATCTCCAGGTCCATCCACGTTGCTGCAAATGGCATTATTTTATTCTTTTTTATGGCTGAGTAGTATTCCATTGTATTATTTTTATATATATATATTATAATATATAATAAATATACCACACCTTCTTTATCCAGTCATCTGTCAATGGACATTTAGGTTGTTTCTATGTCTTGGCTATTGTAAATAGTGCTGCTGTGAACATTGGGGTGAATGTATCTTTTTGAATTAGACTTCCCTCCAGATATATGCCCAGGAGTGGGATTGCTGGGTCATATGGTAAGTCTATTTTCAGCTTTTGAGGGAATCTCCATACTGTTTTCCATAATGACTGCAACAAACTTCGTACACCCCTACTCTTACTTTTTTCTTGTGGCCTTTTCCAAGGAGCTCTGTGCATATATGAGCATGTTTGACCCTTGTCTTCACACAGATGATGACTTTTCTCAATTTAGCATGTCTTTGCAATCACAGAAGTCTGCGTCCTTCTTGCCGGTGGCCCACCGTGTACATGGTCCGTGCTACTCAGTTTGCTGGTGAACATTTGTCGTTTGTGATTTTACATGCGATGAGCATCCCGGTACATCCCTGTCCACACGTGTGAGTGTTCCTGGATGCAGATATGGCGGTGAGATGGGTTTCTAATGCCCTCTGTAGAGGGGGTTGAAGACTGCATCCCTGACAGTATCACATGACAGTGCCTGCCCCCCAACTCTCCACAACGCCGGGGAGCAAACCTTTTCTCAGGGATGGACTCTAATTGGGCTCCTTTCCTCCTCCCTGAGTATGGAAGCCCACTCAGGAAAAAGTTAGAGTCCGGGTCGCAGCTGTCAGCAACTGATACCGACTCTGCTTTAAGCAGAAAAGCACTGTAGCTCCAGATGCGGGAGCCCAGGCGGAGCCTGAGCTGCTCCTCACTTTTCCACCCCACTCCTCCTGGCCGAGCGAAGGGCTCAGCTGTTCCCGCCTTCCCAGTGGCCCGGCAGATCCCCATGCTGGCCAAGTGTGAGACGTGCGAGGAATCAGCTGTCTGGGAGAATGGTGGGAAAATCATTTAAGCAGGTTTTTTTTTTTTAATGGAGGTACTGGGGATTGAATCCAGGACCTCATGCATGCTGTAACAGCTGATTCACAATTTTTAAAGGTTACATTTAAGCAGTTGTTTTTGGTTTTCTTTTGTTTTTATTATTTTTTTGTTCTATTTATTTATTAATTTTTAATTAAAGTATAGTTGGTTTACAATTTGTGTTAATTTCTGGTGTACAGTATAGTGATTTAGTTATACATTTATTTGTATATATTCCTTTTCGTATTTTTCATTATAGGCTAATAGAAGGTAGTGAAGAGTTCCCTGTGCTCTACAGCAGGGCCTTGCTGTTTATCTATTTTGTATATAGTAGTGTGTATCTGCAAATCTGGAACTCCTAATTTATCCCTCCACCCCCACCCTTTCCACATGAGCAGTTCTGATCTGTGTGTATTGAAACTGAACTTAGAGAGGATCCAAGAGGGAAGATGTCACAATCTGGAAACAGTCTGCATATTCAGTTGGGCAGACATTTTCTATGGGAAATTTGGGGCTTATGAATTGTTGGAGGTGCTGAAGGACCTGGTTTGGACTGGGTCTCCTGGATGACTCTCAGAACAATACAGAACTGACCCATCAAGGCACCTCCTGTTTCTGATGCTGCCTCTGGAGCCAAGAGGGATGGGAGGACCCCTCTAACGGCCCCACACCTGGAGCTGCATGACACGCAGCCCGGAGCCCTGGCCCAGGGTGAGGACTTCAGGTCAAGAAGCCACCGAACTCTGGACCTCTCTGACAGGAGAGACTCAAATCTGTCAACCCTGCTTGTGGACAGCAGGTGCAGACAGGAGCAGCAGGAGGGAGGAAGCCACCTGCCTTGCACCCTGAGCCTTGCGCAGATGAGCAAGTGGGAGGGCCTAGGTCTCAGCTGGGGCTCTGACCTCCAAGGAGGCTGGTAGACATCGTTTTTAACTTTCCAACTTATCAAGCCTACTTGGATGGAATGAAGGTTGATAGACACCCCCCAACGACACTGCTGGTGGGACTGTAGTTTGGTGTTGCCACTGTGGAGAACAGTATGGAGGTTCCTTAAAAAACTAAAAATTGACTTAACATATGATCAAGCAATCCCACTCCCAGGTATATATCAGAAAAAGATGAAAACTCTACTTTGAAAAGATACATGCACCTCAGTGTTCATAGCAGCACTGCTTACTATAGTCAAGACATGGAAGCTACCTATGTGTCCATCAGTAGATGACTGGATAAAGAAGATGTGGTGTATATACACAATGGAATACTACTCAGCCATAAAAAAGAATGAAATAATGCCATTTGCAGCAACATGGATGGACCTATTTGCAGCAACATGGATGGACCTAGAGATTATCATACTAAGTGAAGTAAGTCAAACAGAGAAGGACCAATATCATATGATATCATGTATATGTGGAATCTAAAAAAATGACACAAATGAACTTATTTACAAAACAGAAACAGACTCACAGACATAGAAAACAAACTTATGGTTACCAAAGGGGAAAGGGGGTGGGGAGGGATAAATTAGGAGTTTGGGATCAGCAGATACAAACCACTGTATATAAAACAGTTAAACAACAGGGACCAACTGTACAGCGCAGGGAACTATATTCAGTATCTTAACTAACCCATAATGGAAAAGAATCTGAAAAGGAATACACACATACATATATATGTGTAACTGAATCACTTTGCTGTACACTTGAAAATTTTAAATCAACTATACTTCAATAAAACATTTTTTTTAAAAAGAGCCGCATTTTCAGCACTTAGAAACGTGAAATCACTCCCCTCTTTTATCCACCTAATCTTATCCCCTTCCAGCTGCCCCTGTCTCGTCTCTCTTTTATAGCCATGTTTTTTTCTTTTTAAAATGTTCAGTGTGTTTAGTATCAGAGAGGGTGTTTGTGTCTGCATTTTGCCGAGGAATTGATGACTTTATCCTGTATTTATTTATTTTTTAATTTTAAAAAATTTCATGCAAGTTAGTTTTTAAAAAAAATTTTAATGGTGGTACTGGGGATTCAA